CCAAGGGCCCCGCGCGGGGGCAGGGGGGGGGGGTTTTTGTTTCGCCCAAAGGTGGGGGTTGGCCCGGGGGGGGGGCCCCAACAGGGGGGGGGGGGGGGGGGGCGCGAGTCCCGCTCTTGGGAAAGTGTTCGTTAATGGCGGGCAACGGGTACGGCAATGATCGCGGCGGCTACGTCTACGACGAAGACGACGATGACGGCGATTACAGTGCGCAACAGCACGGCCATGGCAGCAGAAATTTCGCCGACCGGGGTTACAGCAGCTACGACGGACGGTACGACATCAATAACGCCTACCAAACCACACGATACGACCCCAGCTCCCCTCGCGGACTAGGGGGCCCGCATGATCGAGGCGTGTACGCCCCCCCCACGGCGACCATTATCAACAACAACCGCGGCGTCGGTAGCTCCCAGTACCCTTCTCGACGAGGAGGCCCGCCGGGAGCAACCCGCTACCCAAACCCGTCCACCGCGTACGACAACTTCTCCTACCCGCCGTCCCCGCGCCCACCGCCTTCCCCCCGGCAACCGCAGGGCTTCGGCGGGGTAGCCGGGCAGCTACTGAACGCCGCGGGCCAGCTCTCCCCCTCGAACAAGAGGGCTTCGGGGGGACGCGCGGTCTTCGACGACGAGGTGACTATCGGCCCAGCGGCGGCCGGCGGCGAGAAGTCCGCCGCCCGGCTGAAGTCAACCTCCGCCAGCGGGGGCTCCGCCGCTGCTTCGCGCTTCGGGCTGTATGCGCCGTCGGGAGGGGGTTCGGGCGAGATTCCAGGCGCCGGGTCCTCGAGAGGCGACGACGGGGACGGTGGGGGGAATGCTCGCTTTCGTGATCGCGGGAGGAGCCAGATAGCGAAGGCACCGACGAACCCGCGGTACCAGGAGAGGACGCGGAATTCGTTCGAGGAAAGAGATCAACAAATGCGTGAGCAGAAGCACCAGCAGCGGGCGCCGCACCAGCGGAAGGCTTCACCGCCACCACCTCAGCAGCCACCACCACCTTGTGCAAGGGCGCCTGCGACGGCGGCGGTTGCTACAGCTCAAGAGCAACATTCCGGTGGCAGGACCCCTTCTGCGAGCGTTGGCGGAGGGAAGCGAAGCAGGAGCAGGAGCAGGAGTAGCAGCCCCCGACCGCCAGCGACGCCGGCAGACCCGCCGCCGCCGCCGCCGCCGCCGCCACCGCCGAACCAGACACCACCTGCCGGGGCCAGACAGATCGCGACCGCATGCTCCACTTCCGCCGCCGCCCGGTCGACGCCGGCATCATCATCAGCGGCAGCGGCCGCCGCGCCGCCGGCGGCACCCTCACGTCCGCCGTTGTCATGGATCACCATCGAGCGGGCCGGCAAGCGGCGGCTCGGGGTCCCGGCGGAGGAACGACGCACGAAGCTCGGCGGGGAGAACGAGACCGTCAGCCCGTTCCAGGGGTGTCCCATCCACGACTGCCCTATGGGTAGTAGCGACGGGATCTCAGTGAGCTGGATGGCCCGGCACCTTGAGTGAGTTGGTCGTCTTGGTTGTTTCGAGCGGTTTTGTTTTGGCGTGAAGCCGCGCGGATGTGTCCTTTGTTATGCGGGCGGGCCCAAGTGTTTTAGTGGCCCGTTAAAGCCCGCGAGATTGTTCTCAGCTTTTATCCCTGGCTCGGTCCCGTCGGACTCTTCTCTTCTCCCGTCATTGTTGACGCGCCTTGGCGTACATGCGTAGACATGAGTACAGCAGTAGACGGGTCCCTAAGTAGTGCCGCCCGGACTGCGAGGTTCAATATCTACTATTTATCCTCCGGGCACGGTTTTTGGCGAAGATTCCGAAAGCTTTACGTTCTCTCCACTCCGAACGGTGCGGGATTCCGCCAAAGCGCGGTTCTTGGCGTTTCTGTTAAGTCCAACCGTTCGGAACATGTCAACGGATGGGGTCGTGCTTCTTTGCGTGGCTGGGGGTACATCCGAAACATGGCAATTTGCACCGACTGCTGAATGCTGAATGGAGCAGCTGAGGAAGGCACCGAGGGTTTGCCAAAGAGGCGGTGGCGTGTCCGAGGATAGTCCGACCACCGCTTGGGTGCGCGTTCTGATTATTTTAGCTGCATCCAGGTTCGCTTGCACCCGTTGCCTCCCCATCCGGCTTGTCTTTCGATGCCGCTTCCTCGCTTCGCCTAAACTTCCCCCTTCGTGTTGTTCCTTCCCCAAGGTCGCACACAAAGGTGGCCATGGAAAAGCCGCAGAAGGAGCTGTACATCAGGAGCAGCGTGGCGGAGATCCTGCACGAAATGTGCTTGGACAGCGAGGTTCCGCGGGCTCAGCGGAAGTTCGAACGACGGAAGATGTCGAGGTGCGGCGGAATCTACGGGTTGCTTACCGTGCCCCCGGTGGAAGTCCTTCTTCGTGGTTCCACCTTTCTCGCTTGACCAATGAATTCGCAAAGCGGCTTATACATACGATTCTGAGGCATGTGACTCCGTTACTGACACTTGCTACTCGTCGAACTCGCTCCACCAGCATCAACGAACGAACACGCTCGTGACTCTATGGTGTTGTTTCCGTGGTTGTGGCACCTAGACATCTGAAACCTCCTCGACGCCGCCGCTATCACGTGTTTCGGCGTCCGGGATTGTGCTGTGTATCCAACCGGCATGCGTGCTCTTCAGCCAAGCTTGTTCCCTTACCGTTTTGCGCTCGTCGACCAGCACTCCTTTTGCTGCGAAGGGAAAACAGGATCCTTTTCCGAATACCCACTTCCACGAACTACTACAGCATTGGCCATGATTCTTCCTCACTTCGTGTATTGCGGCGCGATAATGTTCGATAGCGTAGGCTGCTACGGAAGTGAGGTTCGCGAACTCTCAAGGCAGACCCAAGCGCCTGACTCACATACTCTGCCCGCCGGCTTAACACGTTTATCTTGCAGGGCTCTTTTGGACACGCCCAGAGCAGGCATCGGGCACCTCGCTGGAATGATAGAGACCGTGGTCACCGGCGACAACAAGAGCCCCCACGTCAGGTATGGGCACGTTTGGTGTCGGTTTTGAAAAATGCTGAGACTTGTCTGCGAATAGACACCCCCCCACGCATGGCGTCGGCCCTGCAGTGCTCGTTCGGTGCTCCCGCTGTTGTTGCCACTAAGGCGCTGGTGTCGGTGGGGCGAACGCCTTCAGCGTTGGTCCTGTACAGACCGTTCAAACCTAACAAGAGACTGTGTAGTCCACAGTTGTTGTGTTCCCCCCGCCGCAAGGCAGATCAGTACACAGGATCCGAGGCCTATCTGTTTGTGCCACTGCTTTTCGCTCGCAAGCGGTGACAATGGAAAGAAGACATGACCCGGGCAATACCATGGTGTTTTTGCAGCGCTGTCATTCTCCCATCGTTCTTTGTGCCCCGCCCCCCCCCCCCCCCCCC